GGAGAAAGATTCATCTTAATTTCTAAGGGAAATAACATAAGTGTATGTATCATGAATTTTAACAGATTTTCTCTAGATTGAAACGATGGGCGAGCAAAGTATGGGAAGTTTCAGCAAAATGCCGAGACACCACATGGTATCAATTTCCCCCATTTGGTTATGTTAAGATTCCCAAGCTTGGGAAGAAGAACTTCATAATATGCGATTATCTATCTTCCTGCTGAGTCGGGGTGGTGAAGAGGAAGGCGGGGTTTTAGAAAAGGGGGTGATTGCCTGAATGAAAATCTGCAATGTCCAGGCAAATGAACACTTCTAGCATTCTCAGTCTCAGCTTCTGCACTCTTTGCTGCTCCTTGAATAATGAATGTAACTAAGACCGGGACACAGTCTTACAAATTAAGAGGATAGCTATTTCTATAGTGATCAGAGAGGTCAGCCTTGACCCTGTTGTGGGGGGAAAGCTTCTAAATCAAGTCCATCCTTCAGCCTTACTCTTCGGTGGATTGGCTGAGTCCACAGAGATACTGGGCGAATGGCTTCCAACCCTTACCCTTTCTCTCCTTGAATCAGGAGCAAGGGGTTTTATTGATAACAGCACAAATGCCTCCAGATTGGGCTAGTAAAAAGTCCAAATTCAATGTCAAGAACCAGTTCCACGAGGCTATTAGGTTTTACATAGACAAGAGACAGCGCGAGGCATTTAATTGATAGATTTATTGCTGGAGGGGAGGTTTGTAGGGAACAGGAAATCAAAGGAAAGGAGATGAAAGGAGTTTAGGATAGCCAGATAAAGAAAGATTAGAGCTGGCCCTTTGTCTATAGCCAGAGAATGAGCTAATTTAAAAGGTATAAAGTCCACGAGAGCAGCTATTACATAAAGGAAGAGAAAATTGGGTTTAATACAGACCCACGAACATACTACAACGGAGTATGGCGAGGAAGGAGTTAGCTGGCTCTAGAGTGAGTGGCAGAGTGGGCACAGAGGGTCCTGACGGGAGGGGAGAGGAGAGGGGAGGTGGGAGAGACCAGCGTGGCTGGGATGTCCATAACCCTTTTGGACCTGAGTGTTCCTGGACTCCTTTGTGGTTGGTGTGGATGATTCCAATAGGCCAGATGCCTGCTTCGGCAGGCTGACGTCACTTAATTGGGTGGGAAGATGGGCGGAGCTAGCTTTGTAAACCTAAGAAATGTTTGCTGCTGTCCTTGGTCAAGCTGCCACCTGACCCTAGCTCCTTCAGACTTCCTCCGTGCCCGGTGCTAGGCAGTCCGTTGTGTCTGAAAGGTTCTCATGGTTAGTTCTACTTGTCTCGTGTGAGTAAAAGAGATGACAGACCAGAAGAATTACTGTTCAAATCTAGAAGGGTCTGGGATAGGGTTGCTCCCAGCGGAGAGGGGACCAGGTTTCACTGGTTCTATGCTTGTCCCCCTTTGGCTGGGTTCTTCCCTGCATGAATTCTAGTGAAGACATTAGATAGATAGATAGATAGATAGATAGATAGATAGATAGATAGATAGATAGATAGATAGATAGAGATAGAGAGTAAGATAGATAAGCACACATATAAACACACACACACACACATAAAGAGAGATGATACAGAGATATAGATGTAGATGTAGATAGAGATAGAGATAGATTTTTTTTCCCTTAGAACAGAAGGCTTGGGATAAAAAAGGGTCACTGAACCAGACAGACAGGCATTGGGGCCCAGGAATCCTGATAATTGGGGATCTCAGAGTGATCGTCAAGGACTAGGGCTGCTAAAGAGCTTAATATGACCTTAGATTGAGGCATTGGTGGCGATTCCAAGCATTGCTCAACCTTGCGACCACTTGGTGAATGCACCGAATCCTAGCCACGGGGCCACCAGGGACTCGCCTGCTACCACTTGGGACATGGACACTAGGAGCAGGCAGTCCTGGCCATCAGGTGAGTGGACTGGCTCTTGATATCCAGGCATGACAACTTGAATTCTTTCTCCGTGGCTCCTGTTTAGATCTATGGGGGAACTCTTTTCATGTTTCCCACAAAAGTATGTGCTTGCATAAGAGAATATCACCCCCATGATGCAAATAGAAAAGTCACAATTCTCTGGCCAATTTTGTCAGCCATAGGCGTGGTTCTTGGAGAGGGCACAATCCTGAAGTTATAAAGGACATCTTGAAGACCAGGGGCATCTCCAGGCTACCCAGATGATGAGTCCCACTGGTTGGCTGCTGGACCTTGTGCAAGGGAAGATTAGTAGGGTGTCTCCAACCTTTAGTGAAGCTTCCCATGCTTAAGGGAACTTAGCTAAAGTCTGTGGGAATGGTTTCCTGCAAGACAAAATCGAGAGATTAAAAAAAAAAAAATGGCAATTTTTCACACATGCTTGGTTTTTCCTAAACAAATACTTTATGCCCCATATTGGGGTGCAGGAAGAGGGTGAATCCTCAGGTGCGACAACAATGGGTGGTGGGTCCTTCTCTCCTTCTTTTGGGGAGCTCTCTTCCTAAGGTGTACACTACCCCGGGGTTGACTCCAAGTCACCCAAGTGAGCAGGGGGTGGGAGATGACACACAAAAGGATCAGCCCACTTAGGGGCAAGCCAATTTCTAGGTGCTAGTTTTTCCAGGTCTTGAAAAGTAGTTGATCTCCTGGGTGGCCCCTGTGAAGAGGTTGATCGGAAGGGAAAGTCACTTGGAGAGAAGCATATTGGTGAATACTTTGGATTATCTGGCTCAGTCCCTGGACTCATTTTCTCTGCTCTACCTCAATGATCCCTGAGAAAGGGAAAGTAGAATTTCTGAAGAAGGACATCCCAAACATCATTTCATCAGTGCTCCACTAGCGCCCACTTCAGGGAGCCAAGTGGACCTACAGCAGGGCAACAGGTAAAGTCCTGACCTAGGTTGATTGAGTCTAACGATTGTCTTTGTGAGTACACGCTCCATCCCCCCAGTTTGTCATGTGAGTTGAAGTCTCTAAACTGAGCATCATTTCCAAGGAGCATAATGTGTCCTCCTCAATTTTCTGGTTGAGTTTGAGACAAAGATTTCTCTGTTGTCACTTCGAATGGATAAAGGAAGCTCAAACTTTGGGATGATTTCCTTCAAAATATACTTTGGCCACTGCTTGGTCTGGCGAGGAAAGGCCTCTCCAATCCAGCCTTAAGTGTCCACTAACACAAAGAGGTAGTGAAAGTTGCCTGGAGTTTTTGGCATGACTCTGAATATGGTTGCCAATATTCCCCCAAATTTGTTCCCCGTTGGTCACATGGGTCAGCAGGGTGTGGGGCCTGACCTGATTAACATCTGGCACACAGTTGACACCTACCAGTAATTTCCTGGATTGTTTTTACCAGGCCAGGGCCTGCAGCTCCCTGCGGATGCCAGGTCATGCTTCCATCTCTTCCCAGGAGTGAGTTACTGCAAAGCACGGTGACAATTTGGTCAGTTCTTGTTTCAGAAACTGTGCCCTCTGTATTTGAATACCACAGGGATGGCTGGGAACCCCGTTCTGCAGCTTGCTTCCAGTCTCTATCAGTATAGTCAGCTGTCGTTCTAAATCAAAGTGGGGAGCCAGCCTTTCCCAAGGCTGCTTTCTTAGCTGCCTCGTCTGCCCTACAATTTCCTTTGGCTTGTGGTAAGTTCCCTCTATGATGTCCTGAGACATCCATGGCAGCCAACTGGGCAGGGTCTTGAACTGCGACCAGGAGCTTGAAGACTCCAGAGACATGTTTGGTGTCTGCTGCCCGAGGAAAGGAGCCCGCATTCTCTCTACACTGTGCCACGCGAGTGGACAATATCTGCTGTCATGCGTGCATTATATGTTAATGCACTTCCCTTTCCCAACCCACAGAGCACTCCCCAAAGTAGACAGCTTGGCCTTCTGGGTGGATAAGTTCCTGCAGGTCAGGGTGCGGGCTCTAGGGTGACTGCCTCATACTCCGCTTTTTAGCAGCCTTGCTGTGTGTAACTACTTCTATTTGCAAATAGCTCTGCATCTGGATTTTCAAGGAGGATGTCATTCAGGTGTGGCCAACTGAAATATACTTCCCTAATTTCAAGGCAATCATGGGTGGGCTCAGCCTCATACTCTGGCAACAGGGTGGCTGGATTTAAGGTGGTGACTGCCTTTAAGTTTTCATGATTATTAACCTGATGTTTCCCCCCTCTTCTCTTCCTGCTCTGAGCCAGAACCCCCTTTGTGCTTTAGGAGGAGCAGCATCATTTGGGGTGTCTGAATGAGAATCGGTGGTCCCAATGTAAACTATTCTGCTTCCTGCAACATGTCACATGCAGTCTATCAGCATGGGAGCCTCCCTCAGGCTGCATCGTCTAGTTGTTTTGAGAACGATGCTGTCGGTCTTTCTGCTGTCCCAAGCTTCTGACTGAAGGCTCCAAGGCTACCCTGACATTCAAGGGCAAAGATTGCCAAGGGTTGCTGCAAGTGTGGTAGCATTAGCGTGGGTTAATCTTTATTTTCTCAAATGCTTATTGACACTCAGGGATCCATTCAAGGGGCTCATTCTCCTCCCCTCTCGGGGCCCCATACAAAGTTTTGGCTATGAGTGCAAAATTGGGATCCAAATAAGGCATAAACCCAGCCATTCCCAAGAACCCCCTGCTTCTCTGAGGCTGAGCTTGCCGTTCTGATGATGGCTTCTGTCTGGTCTTGAAGGAAGCGCCCTTCTTGGGAAATCTGAAAACTAAGGTACTCTACTGGTTGCTTCAAAATCTGGGCTTTCTTCTGTGACCCTCAATAGCCACACACTGCCAGTGCTGGCTTGTGTTGGAGTCTGTGTCCTCTCAGGTCTCACTTGTGATTAAGAAGTCATTAACCTACTACAACACAAGTCCTCTCTCCAGTGATGTTTTCTCAAACCCCGGGCAAGCTCTTACCCAAAGTTGGGGGATTTTGATATATTTCTAGAATGTCCATGAAAGTTAAGGGCAAAGAATTAGACTGAGTTTACTTTGGGTGTCAACTATAACCTTGTTTTGGATGTGTTTTTCAGATACTAAAGTTAGAATGAAGAAGTATATTACAGCTTTGATCGTGATAACTTGTCATTATCCCATCGCCAATGAAGCATATGAAATTGGTAAGTTAATATGACGTAAACGTCATCTATTTGAACTAAAAGGAGCGCCTCTCCCCAGCCCCAACCTCTCTGAAATTGCGTTCAATCCAACGATGCACACATGCACACACACACTCACACACAGAGCTTATCAAAACAGATGTCATCACAAGAAAGGAAGATCATTTTACTTTTATCTGATCACAGATCTATATCTTTGCTAATGACTAGAGAACTCTGTTCAAAAGAAACTTAGATGAGAAGGAGCATGCTGAGTGTACAGTAAATAGAATTACGAAGGCTGTACATATGTTGAATAAGATGAAAACATAAAGGATCTAATCAATATTTATCTAATCTATATTTAACTTTGAAGGAAAACTTTGGAAAATGTAAAAACTTTTTCTGATGTTGGAAATACTTCATATTCGGCAAAGATTAAAATAGCATTTTAAAATAGATGAATATGATTTGAAGTAATATAGTGGTCTGAAAATGGGTGTATGTACTTCTGTAGCAGAGCATAATGATCCAGAAAGTACCCCTACTGGAAACTGAATAACAACTGATTCAATAATTATATTGTATAAAGGAATTTGTAACCTAATAGATATTTAGTTCTCTTGCAGCTTGAAAGTACCGATACTGATTGAGGCAGTAAATAGCTTTCACTGTTTCAGCCAAAGACAGAGAGCAGGTTAGTTTGAGAAACCCTTATGTTTATTTCAGAACACGAGAGAGAAGGAAAGAGTGGTGTTTGCTCCCTCCCAACTGCTGTAAAAATCCAGTGAAAGTTAAACACATTATATACCTTAAACTATGTGGCAGAAGCAGATTTTTACAATAATAACAGGAAGAGATTAGCAGGTTTCTACAATGTCACAGGAAGAGATACGCAGAGTTTTAGAATGATCACAAAATACAATTGATGATCTAAGAAGGTAAGTTTTGCAATGACCATTAGGAAATTACCTATACCTATATTTCTCCAGGGAACGATTATTAGACCACCATTCCCTTAAATTCCATGCACCCTTGTTTATCTAAACTGGAGGATGCTTCAGTGCTTGACCTTACCAGACTTCCAAGCCCGGAGGCCTCAATAGGGGCTGCTTATGCCTGGATGCCTGGCCACTTCTCGATGGTCTTCCTAACAAACTTCCTGAGTTGAAACGGCCCTACTAATTGAGCTTAGAATGAATTTTTACTGCAATGGAGGGGGCTTTTTATTATGGATTTTTAATCAATGAAATCTTAAATTATATTAAGATACATATAAATTATATATCTAATATAATATAGTAATTATATATTTCTAGTACTTTGATTAACGGAAGGTAATTCACCCCCTTTCTCAATATGCTTAATAGATATGAATGAATGCTACCTCAAATGAGCCTGAGTTAATCATGAGATGCAGACTTTACTTAGTTTGGGCTGCCAGTAGATTATACTGTCATATATTATATATAGTGGTGGTATTCAAATAATTTAATGGGCTCAGTGCCCTAAGGACAGTTTCAAGTATTCAAAAATGTATACCAAAAGATAATTTCAACATACAATCAGAGCACTGCTGTTGTGCAGATAAACATTGAAAAGGAGTAATGAATGTAAATTTGTGATTTCCACACTCACCCACCTTAGTGAGAATCCTGATCATAGTGCCGTTTTAACAAGTGGCTCACAGAACGCAGCAAACAAACAGGAATGGGTCATGCCAGGACTGACTTGACACCCCCAGAATTGATCTAGGCTTCCGGTTAACCCATCCAGGAGTCCTGGGGGTGTAGTAGTTACACGTAATGCTATTAACCATGAGGTCAGCTTTTCAAAACCACCAGCTGCTCCGCAGGACCAAAACAATGGTTTCTGCTCCCTCAAAGGATTACAGCCTCTGAAACCCACTCGGCAGCTCTACTCTTTCCCAAAGGGTCGCGATGAGTCAGAACTGACTCAGGAGCAGTGAGCTTGGATTCTTTTCATTAACCTCTCAGCGATGGCCTGGTGGACCATTATGATCTGATACAACTTCAGATTAGAATGCAAGAGTTTGCTCTTAGGCGTGCCCTCCCTCCCTGAAGTCCAACCCGCCCACACACACACAAACACACAAAACTTACTAAAAAACTATAAATTAATCAAAAGTTTATTTTCTTAATCAGATTATACAATAAACTTTTCATAAGCATTTTCTTTCCCTAAAAAAACGTGTTTTGAAAATCCTTGTTCCTTTCTTTAAGGAGCCCTGGCTGCGGCATTGGGAATTCCGTATTGGGCTGTTAACCACAAGGTCAACAGTTCAAAACCACCAGCCTCTCTGTGGGTGAGAGATAAGGCTTTCCACTCCTGTCAAAATCTAGTCTTGAGAATCCACAGCGGGAAATTCTATTCTGCCCTATAGGGTCATTATGAGTCAGAACTCACTAATAATGTGCTTGGTTTTTAATTTTTGGTATCTTTCACAAGTGGCAGAAAGTGTATAAAGAAAACGTGCTAATTAAGTTAGAGTAAGGAGGCATTTATGAACAGGCTCAAAAGTGTTTATAGAAAGAATCTATATATTCTTCACCCAATCCCGGCACTTCAGGGATGAAACTGACACTGCACAATGCCCTGAGAGTCTTTTACCACGAAGTTGTCAGTAGGCTACTAAATTTACTCATTAAGTCTACTTGATAAGGTAATGTGTCTCATGAAAAATCTGCTTGAGGGATGTTAGGATTTGGCAGGTATCTAACCTACCCAGCAGCAACGCCTCCCACGAGTTTGCTTCACTTACTTCTTCCTTTGAAGCTATCGTCTGGGGCGTGGCAATAAAGCATATGAAGAAAAGTAATTTGAAATCAGTCATGGGAAGCCTATGCCTTTAATTCCTTAACTCTTGAGTCAAATCAAAAGCCAAGAATGACAGGAAATACAATCTTCCATTTAAAGAACATAGATGTGCAGTCAGTTAAATGTTTTTTTCCCCAATTTTTAATAATAACGGAAGAAGCACCCATGCTTACTTAATATGAACAAAGCTTAGTTTGGAAATAGCAATGATAACCTCTATGGAATATGTTTTGTAGAATTTTATGAAATTTAAAATATGTACAAATTTTAATACAAAGCAAAATATACAAACAATAATATTGTATTTCTATTTCAAGATTGCTTGCAATATGAATTCCCTTCAGTTTTGTCTCTGCATTCCATCTCTCAATTATGCCCTAAAAATGCTTCATAGAAGATTATGTCACAGCACTTTTCCATTAACTTTAGAATGTGTTGGCTTCTCCATATTTATTGAAAACATTTTTCTTTTTCTTTTTTTTTCTTTTTACTTTTTTCAGTGGAGAACTTGACATGGGGAGGTAAGTTCTCTTGTATTCCTGTAAACATGGTTGGTTTGGCATTGCGACATTATTGCTATAATTAACTAATTTATTGATAGTTTAAAATTAGGCAAATATTCTATCAAAAAATATTTTACCATCCTATTTACTTAGTAATGAATATAAACACTTTCAAAATGTACAATATTTAACATTGCTATATTTATTATGATTTGATATTTATAAATAAGTGTGTTCAATGTCAAATTAATCAGTGCATCAAAAATTTACGGAAAAAAATAAGTAATAGAAAATGGAAGTCAAATGACTAGTAGACAAAAATCAAGGAAAATGTTATAAAAATATCAAATTCAGTTATAGTCATGAAAATGGAGTAGCAATTATTATTTGCTGAAAAACTTTTAAGGAAATATCAGGCACTACATAGGTCATTATATTTTAGCTTTACTGGCATGATACAGTATACTATTGTGAGGAAAAAGTATTTTTGCCTTTGGTAGCTAAATCACAAGAAGGTTATTCAGTCACTAATATAGAGAAAAAGGTTAAATACATGATATTTCTCACAATAAGTTAGTTTTCTTTTTAAAAGATTTTTATACAAATTCAATTATGATTATTTAGTTATTCTCATTAGTCACATTTGTTTCATATTCAGTTATGTTAATGTTAATGTATGTATCAATAACTCATTGCTATTTACATTTTCTTCCATTTGTTATTTTTTTACAGTTTTATTGGCACACAATCCCCATATCATCAATTCAATAGTTCAATCATATCAAGACTAATTGTACAATTATTATCTCAATCAATCTTAGGGCATTTTCTTAATTTTTGTGTATTCATGGTTAAATCGCTTTTAAAATGAGTTGTGTAATAAAAATCAGTTCTAGTGCTCCCTCCCCTCTCCTGCATAAACTGCTCCCAACCCCTCACCCTCACTACCACCCATCCCTCACCCCTATCTCTCCTATAAACTCTTGCATCAGTTAGTATCTCTACCCATCTACTCCTTTTGTGCATCACAAACTAGAAACTCAACAGAAAAAAATAAAGTGGTAAGGATAAGATAATAGTAATATAAAGATAAAAATAACCAAGAAAATGAGTAAGAAAGGAAAGACCACCATCAGTGTTTAAAAAGGTCAGGGAAGAAATTTTTGTCATGGAACAAGCAAAAAATACTTGCACCTAGAACCATTTTAACTTGGGTCAAGAGGGAAGTTAACCAACCAAGTATCAAGATTGATTCAGTATAATCACGATTACAATGATCTCAATCTAATATTAAAGCCATTTGAGACCCTTACCTATACCTAGAGGGGATCTGCCAATGGCTTAATCTGACTAGATACCCTGGGGAGCCATATGGCCTCCCACTGTCTTCCGTAGTCTTCAACAAATTGGGTGTTAAAAATTTAAGCTCTGATGCATTTCCCTTTGTCATCTTTGGATTTTGTTATCATCAAGGTTGGATCACAAAAGCTGGTGTCCCCCTTCTATGTGGACTAAAGTGATTCCTCACTTAGATGGTAGCTTGTCTGAATACAAGCCTTTAAGAGCTGACACTATTCTGATTGTTAGGCAGGCACCATCTGCTTTCTTCACCACACTTTGCTGTAGTATCATTCCATGAAGGTGAGCATTACACAGGGCCATGTTATCAGAACAGACTGTTCTTGGGCTGGGGCTAGAGTTAAGTAGGGCCTCAGAATTCATCTGCTTGTCTCTAGGATATGACTGACTCAGGTTTACTTTGGGGGTTACATTATGATAAGATCAAAACCCCATAAGACCAATTACACCAACAAGAGCAAAAAACAAAACAACAACAAGCAAAACAAAAACAAGCAAACTAAAGGGCGGAAAACAAAAATCCATAGAAACTAAAAAGCGCAACATTGTCAATCACCCCCCTGGGGTATAAGACTATTGCACTGATAATATCATTAATTTTTCCAAAGACACAGAACTCCAGACATTGCACTGAAAACATCATTAATTTTCCAATGGCACAGAACTCCAGACACTGTTGGTATGAGGAGTCTATGCAAGTATACTTCTACCGTGAGCGGCAACCCATGAGTTATTGCTCTACACAGTTCGATCTCCAATTCAACTAAGCTCTGTTAACCCGAAGTGTGGGGATTGGTGCCAGGGGAAAATTCCTTGATCAAGTCTTCCAAATTCAGATCCCTGCTGAACACATCAAAACCTGACATGTCACTATAAGGGGGTGTGCATCGAGGTACTAATTATATGGTGTTTCTGGGTTCCTTTCTTTTGGACACGCTCCAAGCCGGGGTTTCCCCCAAGGTCCAGTGACCACCACCTCCACCTTCCCAGGGCAGCCACTCTCTGATTCTTCTCCTATTGAGTACCCCAGTCCTCAATCCAAGGGTGTTGGTACCTTTAAGGGAGGGCTCAGTTCATTCAGCCAGGCCTCTATGTTAAGTCCTTCTCTGTAGCCCCGGGTTATGCCATGCTGCCTGAAGGTCAGCATTCAAGGTCACTATCGTGGTTAGTCCATGGAGTGATTCACTGAGTGTTGGGTAGAAATGTATTCATAGTGTGTACCCAGGAACATAAAATCTGGTCCATTGTCCCCACTAGGTTCCCTACAATTATTGTTTAGCATCCCTTCCTGATGTGACGTTCCCTCTCCCAATCACCCACCATACTTACCAATAGAACTTTCAGTGTCTACTCCAAAATGTAGATGTTTCTTTGTCCTGGTCTTGTCTTGATTTTCCGGCAAGGTTCCCCTTCCATTCCTGTGGAGGGCCCACTGATTTGTCCCAGCCTTGTCTCAAAGTGGATGTTCTTCTCCCCTTCCCCCCCTCTTGAAGGAGTGGCCCCAGACATTGTGAGAGCTCCTCTTTCAAGGTGGCTCTTGTGAGGTGTGCAAAAGATCCATGATGTATGGATCATGGCCAGCTGTTATGTCTCTTATTTCTTGAGGATCTATTCCTAATTGTTGGATCATATGGGATTTCAATTCCCAGTTGCTTTAAGTATTGCCATATCATATTCCCCACAGTGGTTGTATGTTTTTAAAAGTACACCAACAGTGTATACAAGTTCTAATTTTTCCACGTCCTATATAGCATTTGTTCTTTTCTGCTATTTGGTTTTATTTTTTTAATATGGGCTAGCTTTGTGGGTGTACAGTGGTATCTCATTGGGGTTTTAATTTGCATCTCCCTGATGGCTAGTGATCATGAGCATTTTCCCATGTGTTTATGCCATTTGTACTTCATTTTTGGAGAACTGTTTCTTCATGCCTTTTCCCCATTTCTTAACTGGGTCTTTTCTTATTTTCTTATTGGGCTGTTGTAGATTTCTATATATTTGGGTAACTAGCCCTTTGTCTGATGTGTCGTTGGTAAAAAAGTTTTTTTCCCAATTTGTGGGCTCTCATTTTCATTTTCCTCTCCTCATGGAGTCTTTTGCTGTGCATAGTGATGTAATTTCAGCATGTCCCAGTCATCTATCTTGTCTTCTTCTCAGTGTGCCTGTTCCATTATACTTGGTCGTCTGTGTATGCCCTGCAATGGGGTCTGTAAGTCTGTTCCAGCCTTCTCATTGATGATCTTGAGAGATTTGGGGTTTACATTTAGGTCTTTAGTCCATCATGAGTTTGTTATTGTGCACGCATAAAGATCTGGGTCTTGTTTCATTCTTCTAGATATGGAAATCCAGTTTGTCCAACATCATTTGTTGAAGAGGATGTCTTTCTCCCATTGGATATTTTTAGGTCCTTTGTCAAAGATTACTTGCCTGTAGGTTGATGCATTTTGGTCTGGGTTCTCTATGTACATGTCTTTATCTAGACCTCTATAAATGCCCTTTGCCTCCCAGATCTTTCCTCTATTTCCCTTGACTTTCCTCCTGTCCCACTATCATGCCCAGTCCCCACCCCAGGGTTTCAGCAATTCCTTCTTGTTACATTACCCTTGATCATGCCCTACCAGGCCTCCCACACCCACCTCACCACCAATTTGGATCACTTGTGGTTCCCTTGTCCCTGGGTTTGTTAACACCATTTTCTTTCCCCCCACCTCCCCCTCTCCCATATCTCCCCAGAACCGTTGGTCCCATTGTTTTCTCCACCAGATTGTTCATCCAGCCTATCTTATTTAGACAGACCTGCGGAGGTAATAACATGCACAAAAACAAGACAGAGAAAAACCAAGCAACAATATACAATAAAACAACAATAACAACATCAGTTTTCCACATTAACTAATATAGTACCCCTTTGAAGATAATTCCCTCCATACATATTGATTTATCATCAAATGCCTTCTATTTTCATTCAGTTACCTTTCTCTTGTCCATCTGTATTTGAATACGATTCAGCCTTGGTGGCACAGTGGTTACATGTTACAAGGTCAGTAGTTCACACCCTCCAGCCACTCTGTATGAAGAAGATGTAGCTTTCTACTCCATAAAGAGTTCCAGTCTCAGAGACCCACAGGGGCAGTTCTACCCTGTCCCATAGTGTCACTATGAGATGGCATTGACTCGATGGCAGAGAGTTGAGCTCACACACTGGTCCTTTAGGAATGCTTGATTCCCATGGGATCCCAAGGCCCTTAACTATCACAGCTCCTTTATTTTTCGAACACTGTCACTTTAGCAGAGCTTATTTTCTGTGAGATGAAGACTTCTCGACTACCTTTCCCTCCGCTCCCCCCACAAGGACCCTAGCCCGCATAACAATGATTCCTCTTAATTTTCATCTCTACATATTTAAGAAGAAATTTTATTCTTGCGTGAGACCAAAGGGTCAGCAAATGTTTTCTGTAAAGATAAAGTCTAATACCATCATTTTTGTTACTTTCCATTATTATTGCCATGTATGTCAGTGTATTTCTAAGTCTGATCTTTATTTAGGACCTGCGATGAGAATAATATCAGCAAATTACACACTGGAACACTCTAGGTGATAGATACAACCAACAATAACAAAAAGTCGGTCATACGTGTGCCTCATGGCAATATAAATGTGTTATAAGTTGGGGCCTCAAAACTCAAACCAAACTCACTGCCGTCAAGTTGATGCTGACTTATAGTGATCCTGTAGGACAGGTAGGACTGCCCCCTGTGAATTTCCAAGATGGTAGCTGTTAACAGAAGAAGAAAGCCCAGTTATTGGTTTAGAACCACAGACCTTGTGGATTGCAGTCCAAGGCATAGCCATTATGACACCAGGGTTCCCAAATTGAGGACTATCTGTAGTACAATGTGAAAAACCTGGAAATTAGCATCAAGTGCATATATTTTATATCATTTTATCATCTTCAAAATCAAGATACGGAATTATCCTATCACCACAACGATAGAATTATACCTATAATGTAGAACCAGCAATATTGTTTTGAGAGTTAACAGCGAAATTATCTACCATTCACTTTTCAGGATCCATCCATAAAGTGGACAACAGAGACACAATGACGACAGCTGCCCTTCTCCGAATCCTGGTGCTAAACTTCATTTTGTTCATGCTTTTAGATGTTCTGGGAATTTACCAAAGCAGTAAGTCCATCATTATTCATTCATGTTCTAATAAAGAATTCCCTGTTCTGGAAGACTTTTACATGGGTAGCCAGAATGGTGATTAGAACAGAGCTGAATGAGATCTGAACTTCTTATTATAGAAGCAGCCGGCCACTGTCCCATTCTGTTCTTTACTATTGCTTTTTTAAGGAGAATCTCTTCATTTAGTTCTAGGCAACAGTTTGAGAGAGATTTTGACAAACAGCAATTAGTCAAATAGACACACCCCAACTTGTAAAGGTTCTTTAAAAACTTCATTAAAATAAATGGCACAAATATGTAATGTGATTAAGAGAAAAAAACACAGTATTTAAGGTTTTGGTGGGGTGGGGAAAAAATCCAACTATCTGGTAACTCTCCCTTGGGATAACATTATATGTCATTGTCTTTATATTAATTTCTATCTCTCTAGCTATCTATCTTCAGAATGATTTTAGCTGATAGACATTGTCAAAATCATATTTCAGCTCTATGTATGAAAATAGTTCAATGTTGAGACTTATGTCAATGTTGAATATGCCTGCAAAGAAGTTTCTAGTTTGACTACCAACAAAATCTTAATAGGAGGAAATTGTTTTTCTTATAGTAGAGATTATATTCTTTTTATATATGTGTGATTGAATTATAATATATCTTATAAAAATTTGCAAATGTAAAAACGAAATTTTAAATTTTCATGTAAGATTTTGAGAAAGTGTTTTGGAGTTTTTACCATACATTCTTTTTATTGAGGTAAAATTCACATACTAAAAAACACAAATACATTTCAAACTCTTTATCATATATTGAAACAATTGATATAAGATTAGATTTTTCTAGGAAGCATAGAAGCACACAATCTAATTTTAGAAATTCAATGTAAACACCAGTTGCAAAGATTTCATTGATAACTTGCTCTTCTATTCCATAAGGCTGATAAAAGAGATGGAGTTAGTTTTCTTTGTGTAGCTGGTACATGAGTAAAGCATTACAACTCTGAAATGGAGAATAACCATAGCTACAATATTCCAGAGACTCTGAGTGATGAGGCATACATATAGCATGAATCTCTTATGTACATTTGTTTTACTCATTAATCTTTGTTATAGCTCACATATACTGGATGTGGAACTATGGAAATCCTTGACTGTCTTAAGCTAGATTCTCTAGAGAAGAAAAACGAATAAATATATATCAAGACAATGACTCATGCTATTGTAGTGGCTGGCAAGTTTCAAGTTCATGGGTCAGATGTTAGGTTGGATGCTTCTGTCAACTCATATAACTACAGGATTGGCAGGTCAGACAACAGGCTCACCAGCTAGGAAGACTGGCAAATCTAAGGTCTACAGATGAGATGGTAGATTACTGCTTAGATTAAGGAGGAGAAAAGAGTGTTTCAACAGAATGTCCATTTATTGGAAAGTATCCGCACTTCTTTGTAAATTCCCTTTCAACTGATTAGCTGTTCTTGAATCACTCCTGAAGGAAGTGATTACATTATGTTAGATCAAATGCTGGGGGATGACTACATCCCCCATAACCGCCAAACCACTGAGAATCACGCCATTGCTAAGTTGATACTCAACTGTAACCATCACAGAAATTCTCTAGGGAATGGATATTTAAAGATTCATCTTCATTATTGTGTGATCTGACCTGTCAAACAGGGATTGGTGCTGAGTCTGGATCTGTGCTTAGCCTAATGCTCTAATATCATTATCTTGGCATTTTAAGTGATCTTTGAACACTTATTTTGTAAGTGAACCCCAATGATATGACAGAGGAGATATGCTGGGTGGTAGCACATACATGCAATTGTGATCCAACAGTAGACAGCACAGCTTCATGCTTAGGCGTATGTATCCACACTGTGTTAGTCTGGGTAGACTAGAGAAACAAATCCATTGACACACATATGTGTATAAGAAAGAGATTGATATACAAGAGCATGTGAACATTGAGAAAACATCCCAACCCAGTCCAGTCCAAGGTCATAAGTCTGATATTAGCCCATATGTCTGATACCAATCTATAAAGTCCTCTTCAGACTCACAAAACACATGCAATGAAGCCAAATGCAGGATGACCACAAGCCAGTGGGTAGAAAGTCTTTGGATCCAGTGGCATTGTAAGCATCTCAGTGCTGGTGGGGACTTTCTGTGGCTTCTCTGGCTTCCGAGGTCTGGTTGCGTCCATGTGGCTTGTCTTCGGCAATGTCTCCCAGGGAGTGGCAGAGAGAGAAGTGTCTTCTGCTTCCAAGGAGGAAGTAACAGATTTCCCAGAATTTTCCGGAGAAGGCCATGCCCACAGAAGTCTCATTGGCTATCTCCAGATTGACAGCCTCGACTCCACCCCTACACTCTTAATCATTAAATTAACACTAGGTTAGGTGACTACCACACACACTATACATGGTCATAACATACAGCAGTTGATCCAGTGCTAAGTCCTTTGGCATAACATAGTCCCCAGAGGCAAAGAAAATATTCTACAGGGCACATTGTTGAGTCACAACTGGGGTCAGAGCTTCTAGGTGTCCATATAAGATGCAATTATTGATATTGCTCCATAAAGAGCCAATAAATATGAAGAACTTCAAAGGTAAAAGGAAATAATTAGTCCAAAGGACAAATGAACCATGTGAACATTAACTTCCACTACCCTGAGACATCTGAAGTAGATGATGACTGCTCTGATTTGGATCACAGATTTAGGAATCATTAACAAGACCATACTTACTGGTCTCACAGGGAAATGTCCTTAGACACCCTGCAAGCCTGGGACCAAACACCGCCATAACTCACAATCCATCAGCTGTCACACGAGAAAGAAATGCACTCCTTAGAGGAATAAACCACTACAAATAAAGGAAAACATTTTTCAAGAACAAACAAAAAGCAAAACTCTGAAGCAGGAAGAAGAGGAGAACAAATGGAAATGGACCAGAGAGGGAGAGGCATGGGGAGAGCACGGGGTATATTGCAATCAATGCCACAAAACAAAATGTGTACAAGTTATTGAAGGGAAAACGAGTGTGCTTTGTGAAATTTTAATCAAACCACAAGGAAACGTGTTTTTGTTTTGTTTCTTTAAGGCAAACAGATATTCTAACACATTGCTGTTGTTGCAGCTAGTCTCACAATTGCTGTTCTGTTTGATCCCATTGTTACAGTAACTGAGCGAATCCATTGATTTGATGATAGTCCTCTTTTTTTCTAACCTCCTATTTTACCAATCATGATAGTCTTTGTGAGGGACTGGCCCCTACTGGTAACATGTCCAAGTACCTAACGTGAAGTCTTACCATCCACACTACTGAACTACTTCCAGTACTTATGAGTGCACTTACTGCACACAAATGTATTTGTTCTTCTGGAAGCTCATGGTATATTCAATATTCTTCACCAACATGATAGTTCACAGACATAAATTGTTCTCTTCTTTATTTGTTGTCCAACAAATATATATATATTCACAGTTTTGGTTGGGCACACCTTTAAAATTTTTTTAACTTTTTTTTAACAGATCTTATTTTGTAGCAGATTTACCCAGTACACTATGTTGTTTCATTTCTTGGCTTGTCTCATGGACATTGATTGTGGATCCAAGTAAAATGAAATCCTCAACACATTCAATGATGTTGTGTATCGGTCCAGTTGTGAGGGGTTTTTCTTTGTTATACTCTGTGTTCCACTGTAATCTGGATGTCGCCTTGCATCTTGCATCTTCATCAGTAGATGCTTCAAGTCCTCTTTATTTTCAGCAGGCAAACTTGTTCCCATTTCCATCTATCAGTGTCCATGAGTCTTCCTCCGTTCCTCATGCTGTGCTTATCTTCCTACAGCCAAACTTCTCCTCGGGTAACTTGGAACAGATCTCAAGAAAGAATGTGACCAATTTATCAACTTTGAAACAATATTTAAATGTAAAGATTGTAAAATCTCAATGAACATAAGCAAATTAAACTCTAAGACTATCATGCCGAGGCATATTTTATGGCGGTGCATTCTACAACATAAAGAAATGTGCAAATGCTTAGAAAACCAAACCTTTCTAAAAACGTGACTCCAGAAGAACTAGAAATTCCGAATAGATATGCCACTAGTTCAAAAACGGAATTGATGATTCAACATGTCCCCACAAAAAGAAATCCAAACTCGGGGGATTTCTGTAATGAGTATTATCAAATATTTTAAAAAGCAGTAAGACAATTTATCCACAAAATGCTTGTAAAAAATGGAAAAAAGATGTGACTCTTCCCAACTCATTGTGTGAGGCAGATATCTCCTAGATACCATAGACAGAATGTTCCAGTCAAAATATCAGAAAACAAGAGAAATTAGAGGCAATCTTCCTAATGAATATCGATGCAAATTTTTCAATAAATTATTAGCAAACTGAGTACAACAAGAGTGACACAAAAGAGAATATACATCCCTGATCTGCTTTCAGTTTTCAGCACTGTTAGTTCCAAAAACTCTTTCCAGGGCAACTGATGATTAGTGGAAAGGTAACTTTTAGAACTTTCAAATCCACTGTTTTTTATGATTACACATGGAAGAAGGAAAGGTAATTCAATTCCCAGAGATAAGCCAAGGAAAAACTTATGGACAACGGTCAAACATTGATTGATATCATGTTGGGAGATAAGCCTGTCAGGGTGGAAGGCATTCAAAATATGACTGGTGTAGAGCTGTCTTCTCAAAGAAGAGTTCATCTGAACGACATGGACGGAGCAAAACTTTCAGGAGGATTCAAAATGAGGAGAAACAGCCACAGATACCCGTTATTAATCAGAATGTGGCACGTAGTAACTATGAATCTAGAAAACTTAGAAGTAATCAAAAGTGAAATTGAATGCAGGAAAAACAATGATTTCTATTTATAATATATTTTAAATATATAATTCTATTGATATAATTATATGAAACTATTATTCAGTTACCCACCAATCACTAAATCCAGCGAGGAAGATATGAGACAATTCTACCAACTTAGGCAATCTGAAATTGATAAAGCGTCCAACCAAGATGCATTGATAATTTACTGGTGATTGGAATATGAAAAGCAGAAACAAAGAAGGAAGATCGCTAGTTGGAAAATAGGGCCTTGGTGGTAGAAACAAAGGTGGATAGAGTGTGGTAGAATTTTGCGTGACATGATGGAGAAGCTCATATCATCACTCAAAACAAGGGGTCAACTATGGAATAGACCATCGATTGTTCAGGTTGAAATTTGACCAAATGAGTTGTAGGATGATATCAAGCGCATACTACATGAAGAAAGTAAAGCAAACGGTAATTTAAAAGACAGAAACAATTGAAAACACCAAAATACATATCAGAAGAGGCTCTAAAACTAGCTCTTGAATGGAGAATAGCTGACGTGAATGGAAGAAGTAATGCGATAAAAGCGACGAGTGGATAATGTCAAGGGGCAGCTGGAGAAGTCAACATACAACAGCCTAATGAAATGTGCGGAGACCTGGAGAGGGAAAATCAACAAGGAAGCAAAGCATAGACTGTCTCTATAGACTTACCTATCCGGAATTTCATCTGGAGAAAAACATAGAAATAAAAACAAAGAAAAATCTCAGTTGAAAAGAAAACAGAAAATAATAAAAACTTGAATAAACTTAAAATGAGTCAATGGAGAATAAATGATAAGGTGTTAAATGTTAACATAATACATCAGCATTCATCCAATAGCAAACATTCCCATCCTCATCAACAGTCAGAGGGGACTCCCGGAAGTTGAATCCATGTGGGGACTCTGCAAATGAATTTTGAACTTTCATGATCATCTATCAAAAATTAAAATGCCTTTATTTTTTAATGTGCATTGAATTCCGAGCCTCACTGTTGTTTAACACACTCATCTGGTACTGGATATGGAAAAGTGTTTTTGAAAAATGAGACCGGAGCAGTGATGAGATTCAGCTGGTGTACACCATTTTGGCAGAACCAATACCTCATTTTTTCTTGAGTTCAAGGAACTAGTTCGTAAAATGACACTTGTAATCAGAGCTCTCTCTCTATCTCTCAGTGTGGAAATCACAAATTTACATTCCTTACTCTTTTTAACGTTCCCAACAGAGTATTCTAGGGCACCTGCAGTAATATTCATTCCATCCCTAGGTATAAAAAATTAGACAGAAATATTCTTATAATATTTATTTATTCCTTTCATGAAACTCATTATACTTTTTATGAAATACCATATTTGTATTCCCTTTCATTTGCTTCTCCAGTAAACAAACATATGATGCAAAGAGCAAAAGTGTCAAACCACCAGAGGGTGACAGACACTCTGTCATTCTGCTTTCAGCTTTGGGTTACACCCCAAATTCCCACTGGATATCATACGTGAATTATGCAATCCCTGAAAGTGTTCAAAGAGCTAAAATATTGTCCTAACAATTGCTGTAAGTTCAGCAGAAGTAGAAAGAGGTTTTTCAAAGATGATATAATTTGTTCCAGGAGAGACATTGGTAACTGTTGCTAAGCTATCCAGCACAATGACTATTATCTAATTGGCCTACCTCTAAGAGAATGGGATCCTACTCCTGCAGTGGAAAGATGACTAGGATCACACAGATAATTATGCTCAGATAAAAGTAAAGATTATTGCAAGTGGAATTTAAAAAGAGAGAGAGAATATTGACAGTGAGAACACCAATCAAGAAGCAATACAGAAATATCTTAAAGGTTTTATTGGTTTGGGGCAGGTATTATTTAATATTTTCATTAGTATATTAAAGCTCATAACGTAATCTAGTTCCGTGTACCAGTTTTATGGTTATTATTTAAGTATGAAATAATAAACTACCTTTTGATATATGTGTTTTATGGTGAAAACAGTCGTTAGATTTTTAAAATTAGTTGAATCCCACCACTGATCTTGAGGAGTTGAAATAATACAGAAAGCAGCACAAAGTCGTTTACTGTGTGAAGCCATTTGGGGAGTATATTATTTTTGTATAATATTTACAATGGATGCAACTTGTGTGCATTTGCCCTTCTCTCAGTTTTCTCTTGTCATCATATTATCACTTTTTCCTTGAGCCCCTTCATGATCAAATGTGATGCCATACGTGAAATGCATGCAGTGCTGAGCCCAATACAAAGAGGTGTCTTGCAAAAAGTCCCTGCATTTTTTATGGCGGTGGTGGGGGTTATTATGATGTTAACGATAACATGATTATGATACCGGGAATGTTGTAATTCCCGCTTCTACTAATTTTATTTTATTTCTTTCTTTGCGTTTGCCAGCAACACGGAAGGCGGATCGAGGTGAGATTTCCTTTCTGCTCTTTGCAAACATCGCTCTGTAATGACAGCCGTCCTAGCTGGTCTGCGCTCTCAGCATCCAAGCATCTGTCGGAACTTCATGATTTAGCTCAGCAATATTTTCAACGTTTAAGGACTTCACTTTTCATCTTTTTAAATGACTTTGCCTTTGTTTCATTGGAAGACATATTTGAGAAAAAGTACAAAAACAGTCATAAATTTAAAAGCAACAGAACTTGCGCATCAAACACCACACCATTGTGTTATGACAGTTAGATACACCTGTCATGCGTGCAGTCCTGAGGCCAATGCCAAGAAAAAACTTTTAAAAAAATGACAGTGGCATTTGTGATTGTGTTTATGCCTATGATGATAATTGCAATAATACATGAATACTAATGAGGATGGCGAGCAGGAACACAATGTAATTTTTTATAAATAATATTCCAGGGGATGTGGTTAGGTAATTTTAGATGCAAATAAAAAGTTTTGTCAAAATTTTTTTTTAATTTTTGAATCTCTTACCTGAATTAAAACCTCAATGATTCAGGCATTAGTTCAGGTACCAATCTGATAAGAAGTCCTAGGATTTTGCCTTTGATGCACCTCTATCCTATTGCAGAGGTGGTGCACTAAAGAGTGTAGGTAGATTGTGTCATTGTGTTCTCTCTGTTTCAAATTGATTACAATTGCTCTTTATTTTTCAGATCTTCGGGAAGAAATTGGTAAACTTTCCTATAATTCATATAGACAGGATATGATTTCATACGATTATATTGCTTCTTTCCTCTTTTCTGTACCTTTCTCTTCTAAAAAAATGTGAGGCTCTCTCTTGTGTAATTTTCATTCATCCTTACAACACTGATACCCTTTGTGCCCAATTCTCTACTCTTTGTTAGTTTCTCTGCAGTGTACCGATTTTCCCATTATTCCATTATCGCTTTAATAACATTCTTTCTTCATCCTTCCACATGATGCAACGAAAGAAACGTCTGTTGTTCTGTCGGATAGGAGGAAAATTCTGGTGTGAGAATATATAAGGTCGAACTCCTGAAGTGTCTATTATGCCCAACATCTTTCTCGTTGTAAGAAAGCTATGTCAAGGCAAGGAACTGCTTAAAGCATGCAGTAGATGGTCTCTACAAAGGAGGCCTATCATCTTTTAATTTGTGAGGAGGGTCTCAG